TATGTTAATGGTCAGTTGTTGTTTGCTGTTGTTGGTTCTCTGTCCAAATGACTCCCTTTAGCATCTCTTGTAAGGTTGGTTGGGTTTAACAAATTCCCTTAATTTTTGCTTATCTAGAAATGTCCTAATTTCACCATCATATTTGAGGGGCAATTTTGCTAGGCATATAATTCTTTGCTGGAAAACTTTTCTTTCAGGGTTTTATATATACCATTCCATTGTCTCCTCACCTGCATGGTCTCTGCTGAGAACTCTAAGCTTCGTCTTATTGGCTGCCCCTTGTAGGTAACTTTTTGTTTTTCCTGTACTGCTTTCAGGATTCTGTCTTTGTCTTTGGTTTGGTGAGTTTGATGATGATATGTCTTGGCGATTTTCTTTTGTAGTCTATCCTGTTTGGGGTTCATTGGATTTCTTGAATGGATATATTCTCATCTTTCATCATACCAGGAAAATTCTCTTCCAACAAATGTTCGACTATTTTCTCTGTGGTTTTATTTGTCTCTTCCTGTTCTGGAATTCTGATTTTTACATAGGTTATTCCTTTTGATGGTATCCCACATGATCCTTAGGCTTTCTTCATTTTGCTTTGATCTTTTTTCTGATTGATTCCTTTCCAAAGAAGTGTTCTGGTATTTGCTTTCAATCTCACTAATTCTGTCTTCCATTGATTCAGTTCTACTCTTTTGTCCATTCAATGTCTTATCTATTTCTGAAAATTTAGTATTAATCTTCTGGATTTCTGTCTGTAGATTATGTGTCATTTCTAATTTTTCATTTACTTTGTCATTTTGTTCTTGTATTGTCTTTTGAAATTTTTCTATGGTTTTCTCTGTGTTTTCCTCAATTTTGTCAGTGTTTTCCTTGCTCTGTCTCTCAATTCACTGAAGGTACCTAAATTTAATTCTTTTGAATTCCTTATCAGGGAGTTCCAATGCAGCTTCTTCCTCAGGAATGTGTTTTGGTCCTGGTCCCTTGTTTCTCCTGCTTTATCTTGCATCTTTGTGTGGACTGTAATGCTCTGTTGTCTCCAAGGCATTGTGATGTTTTGTGTGTTTATATTTAATTGGTGATTGTATGTTGAAGTGAAGGAAGGTTGGGCAATCCTACTTCCGTAGTGATACTGCCTCGGAAACCCAAGGAGGGGTCGCTATGAGTCGGGGCCAACTCGACGGTAAATAACAACAATAACATGTTGAAGTGACTTGCCCATGATTTTCATTTTGTTTTGTTTGTATGATATCTACATACAAAGCAGGGTACTATGCTGTGCTCCTCTATTTGCTAGTTGGCAGCACTTATACACTCACCACCTGTCTCCTTTCCCATTGTCTGCCTCGCATATGTCCCTGCCATCCTTGGCAAATGGAGCCTATTCTTAGCTCCTGTCTTCATTCAGTTTTTCCACTAGTTGGTTCCTAATCCACTTCTGTAAACTTCCGTTCAAAGCTCAGGGCTCCAGGATTATCTTCTGTATTTCCATCAATTGGTTCATCTTTTCTTTGTCGAAGAGGGTCTGTGGCCCTCGTACACCTATTCTACCATCTTACCAGAAGTCCCTCTTAGGCTAATTTTTAAGGAATTAAGTTACTTGGTCAATTCTGGCATATGATGCTAGAAATATTCTCCAAAATATTGCAAATCTGTAATAAATTTCCCTCTGTTTTAAAACACTCACATTCATGGTTCTATATCCACTTATTTTTGCTAATTTATATGAACAAAAATAGTAACTCAGAGTTGTTTTCACTGATCACATGTTGAAAAAATTTGCAAATGCTTCTTCACTATTTGTTTCTTCAATAAAGTCTATTGCCAGTATTTCTCCATGTGGGCATAGTGAGGTTACAGTTGTACAAGTCTCTTTCAAGTTTCATACTTAAACCTTTTCATATTAGTACAAATATTTCTCCCATTCTGTTGCTTCCTTCTCACCTGTTGTTTCAATGCTTCATTGTTCTCAAGATTTATCTTTTTAATTGTATGTATCTTTCTTTACCTCTACATTTCTATTCCTCTTAAAGAGAAAATAACCTCCTTTCCACACCTCAGGTTTTTATTAACTAGATTTAATTGGGAAAAATGTTGTGAGATACGAATTTTTTTTTTTTTTTTTTACATATACTCTTCAGGGTTTACAGGTTATCTGGCTGATGTTTCAAATGCATAAGGAGCTCTGGTGGCGTAGTGCCTAAGGCAACTGACTGTTGACCAGAAAGTTGGTGGTTTAAACCCACCAGCTACTCCATGGGAGGAAGATGAGGCAATCTGCCTTCGTAAAGATGTACAGTCTTGCAGAAAATAACAATGCGGGCTAGGATACAGAGAGATTGGGACTCTCATACACTGCTGGTGGAACTGTCAAATGGTACAACCACTGTGGAAAGAAGTATGTCAATTCCTTAAAAAGTAGGAATTAGAAATACCATTTGACCTAGCCATTCCATTACTAGGTATATATCCTAAAGAACTGAGAGCCATGACAAGAACAGACATATGCACACCCATGTTCATCGCAGCACTATTTACAATAGCCAAAAGATGGAAACAACCTAGGTGTCCATCAATGAGGAATGGATAACCAAACTATGGTATATACACACAATGGAATACTATGCAACCCTAAAGAATAATGTAAAATCTGCAGAACACCACATAATGTAACCGAACTTGGAAGACATATGCTGAGTGAAATAAGTCAATCACAGAAGGACAAATATTGTATTAGTCCATTATTGTAAAAGTCAAGGAGAGGTTTATATATGGAAGGAAATTTTCTTTGTGGTTACCAGGGGTGACAGGGGAGGGGAGGGAACACTTTTAGATAGGTAGAGATAAGTATTGATTTGGGTGAAGAGAAGGGCAATGTACCAAATGTGAGTGACCAACATGGTGGCATCGAGGAAGAGGAAGACATAGAGAGGTACATGGGAGGTACAGACAACAAAGATGAACCCTTTTGCACATACAGTACTGTGTTGTCAGTGAAGGCAAACATGGGTATATGGGTGGATAGATGGGTGGACAGGTTGAACTATTAGGTATGTCTATATAGCAGGGAGTGTACCCAAGACCATGTACAGGGTTGGCAGGCAATGATTCTACAAGTATGTTCTGTAAGAGTTCCCAAGTGTATAGTAGAGCTGACAAGGGACAAAGTTATAGTCACTTCTTGGTCACAGCCAGCTACCCAGAGGAAGTGAGTAGTTGAACCTGTGGGCTCAGGACCATAGTTGCAGGGGACATAAAACTAAAATGGTATAACATACAACGCAAAACACTGTTGCATCTCCTACTTTGGCGAGTGGCGAATGGGATCTTAAAAGCTTGCAAGCAGCCATCTAAACACAACAATGGGTCTCTCCTCATCCAGAGAAAAGAAGAATGAAGAAAACCAAAGATTCATGGAAACAATTAGTCCAAGCAACTGATACCATGTGATGCGTATACGATGCGTATGTCTATATGACTATGAGACCAGAACTAGATGGTGCCCGGCTACCATTATCAATCAATCGGAGGGGGATCTATGTAGGAGATCTTGGATACAGAGGGAGAACAATGTGGAACAAAACTCAAAATCATTTGGGGCAAATAAAGGGGGGGGGGGACCAGGTTTGCTGGTCTGATAGAGCCTGGTGGAACCACTGAGACTATAGCCCCTAGCTGCCCTTCAGATCTGGAATTGAACACACACCTGTGGCTTCCAGCCAAACAAAAGACAGGCATATGAGTTGAACATTTATGTGACATAGATACACTCCTTGGAGAGAACAACAAGGGCTGTTTATGCACAGGGAGACAGCTCAGAGGGCAGGAGTACATGGAGGGATCGACACAGGGAAGAGGTAACTATAGGGAGAAAGTGGGAGGGGAACTGTTGCATTGGAATAAATTATAGTCAATGTCATGAGACAAAGTTTATGTGAACTGCTGCATGGAATGTGAATTTGTTCTGTGAACGTTCATCCAAATCACAATTAAAAAAAAAAAAAAAAAAGATTTACAGTCTTGGAAACCCAGTAGGGGTAGCTATAAATTGGAATGGACTAGATGGCAGTAGGGTTTGGTTTTGGGTTCCAAATATGTAAGTTTTACATAGCTTTTGAAAAAAAGTCTGGTCTTTGTTCTCCCCTTAAAGAAGTATCTATTTCTAACTTTTACCATATGGATGCACTGTACAATTCAGTGTTCATGTACTCATGTATTCATTATTCACCTATTTTTCATTTATATCAGGAAGTTACAAAGCACTTTGACCCCCTTTTACCATGTTCCTAATAGACGGCCCCGACTCATAGTGACCCCTCCTTGGGTTTCCGAGGCAGTATCACTACGGAAGTAGGATTGCCCAACCTTCCTTCCGAGGAGTGGCTGATGGGTTTGAACTGCCATCCTTCTGGTTAGCAGTCAAGTGCTTTTTAGCCACTATGCTACCAGAGCTCCTTTAATAGAGTTTAGGAAAAAATAAAAATAAAAATAAGTGATTCACTTCAAAAGCATTTTCCCTTAGAATCACGAACAAAATTTTCATGATCAAGAGTTAACAAAGATGAATAGAGTTATCCCCAAAAAGTAAACTCCTGAAATCAGAACGCAGCATATAAATTCATTCCATAAAATTAAGAGTTCACATAAAGAAAATAATTGCACCCATACATTTGAATCCTATTTTACAAAAGCTCCTATTTCCAAATAAATTCTTCTTTATAGTATGTAAATGACAGTCAATGACCTCATTTTAAGCACTGCATCACAAATACGAATCTGTTCCCCAAAATAAATAGTTCTTTATCCCTGGGCCTAACGACTTCATTTAGGTCTTCGATAGACACAGAAGACTTGTAGTTTATACTCTGTTTTACTTACGGATTAGTATAGCAGGTGCTCGATAAGTAAATGAATTACAAAGAAAAGGACCAGTTTAGTATGAATCCTACTTCCAGAAAAAAAAGTAGGAAAAGATTTACACAGTCAATGACACCACTAACCCAGCACTGTACCTTAAGTTCCTGCTTGGGCTCTACATTCTTTATTGTTGTGTAATACACATGGTGGCCATATTGGTAAGCCACCAGGTTCTGCTCCAGGTGGTTTTGGGCTGGACGCACAAACATCATCCAGTTACAAAGAGTCTCATCAGACAACTCAAACCATAGGTCTTCATGCAAATCCCTGTCTTTTCTGTCCCCTTTATCAAGAGAAACCTGCAACAACAGAGAAAGTAAAAAGCTATACCAAAGGAGGGAAAAACCTACAATGTGATATGCATTAATACCATAACAGAAAATATTGGTCCTTAAATTAACCATATATCCTGATTCTTCCCTTTCTATCTAGAAAGACACTAGAATTGTGACTTGCCAAATGGAAAAGGGAAAGGATACTTTCTGAAGCCCTCAACTGTAGCAGAGTTAACTGGCAAAACCTAAAAGCTAACAATCTAATTCCATAGCTTCATGTAATGTTTCACAAAACTAACACACCACAGAATTCTATAAATAAGCCAGAAAATGCAAGTAAACATACTCTCAGCTCATTACAACTTGCCTCCTTTTAGGATTCAACTGCATTCATTTATAATCTATAGCCAGGTGATAGATATTTCTTTCTACAAAGTAATATTTTTCTTGCTGATCTTGTACACTAATCAAAGAAAACCTTCCCTTGACAGAAGTTGATTTCTCAAAAATTACATCCAAACATTCTTCCCTTCCCACTGCCCTTTCTTAATTCTCTACATTGGCTCTTGGAGAAGCAGATAGCAAAGAGGGCTGGGTATAAGCTAAAGCATCAAATGTAAAGAACAGTTGTTGTGTGCCGTCAAGTCAGACCCGACTCATAGTGACCCCTCACTGGGTTTCTGAGGCAGTATCACTATGGAAGTAGATTGCCCAACCTTCCTTCCGAGGAGTGGCTGGTGGGTTTGAACCGCCAGCCTTCTGATTAGCAGTCAAGTGCCTTAGGCACTATGTTACCAGAGCTCCTGTAAAGAACAGAAGTGATATAAAAATACTTTATCATAGAATACACTATTCTTTAACTAAAGATCCAACATAACAGACCTGTTGTTAATAACTGCACCAAAACTTGAAAAATGAAAAAAAGAAAAGAAAAAGTTTTCCTGAAAGCATTACTGGCACATGGCAGATTACATGTGTCTACATATTTCTCTTTGTATTCCAGTCAAAGTTAGTATAAAATAAACAAATGAATGTTGTTGTTTTTGTTGTTGTTGCTATATACCATCAAGTCGTCTCTGGCTCATAGAGACCCTGTGTACAGCAGAACAAAATACTGCCTGGTTCGGTGCCAGCCTCACAATCTCTGCCATACCTGAGCCCATTGCTACAGCCACTTTATCAATCCATTTTGTTGAGGGCCTTCCCCTCTTTCATTGACTCTCCACTTTATCAAGCATGACATCCTTCTCCAGAGAATAGTCCCTTCTGACAATATGACCAAAGTAGGTGAGACAAGTCTAGCCATTCTTGCTTCCAAGGAGCATTCTAGCAGGACTTCCTCCAGGACAGATTTGTTAGTTCTTTTAGCAGTCCATGGTACTTTCAGCATTCCTTACCAACACCACAACTCAAAAGCATCAACTCTTCTTTGACCTTCCTTATTCATTGTCCAGCGCTCACATGAATATGAGGAGCCAGTAAATAACCATGTCTTGGGTTAGGTGCATCTTAGTCTTCAAGGAAATATCTTTGCTCTTCAGCACTTGAAAGAGTCCTTTCGCAACAGATTTGCTCAATGCAATGTGTCTTTTGATGTCGTGACTGCTGCTTCCATTGTTGTTTATTATGTTGTTTTGTTGTTTTTATGTGCCATCAAGTGGGATCCAACTCATAGCCACCCCTCCTTGAATTTCTGAGGCGGTATTACTACAGAAGTAGACTGCCCAACCTTCCTTCTGAGGAGTGGCTGGTGGGTTTGAACCACCAGCCTTCTGGTTAGCAGTCAAGTTCCTTAGGCACTATGCTACCAGAGCCAAGTAATATGAAGTCTTTTACAACTTCAATCTTCTCCATTTATTGTGATGCTGCTTACTGGTCCAGTTGTGAGGATTTTTGTTTTCTTTATATTGAGGAGTAATCCATACTGCAGACTGTAGTCTTTGATCTTCATCAGTAAGTGCTCCAAGTCATCCTCACTTTCAGCAAAGTTGTGTCATTTGAGTATCTCAGGTTGTTAATGACCCTTCCTTCAATCCTGATGCCACATTCTTCTTAATATTGTCCAGCTTCTCAGATTTTATTTGCTCAGCATACAGACTGAATACATATGGTAAAAGAATACAACACTGACACACTCCCTTCCTGATTATAAACCATGAAGTATCCCCTTGTTCTGTTCAAGTGACAGCCTCCTGGTCTATGTACAGGTTCCTCACGGGAACAATTAACTATTCGAGAATTACCATCTTCTCAATACTATCCACAATTTGTTATGATCCACACAACTGAATTACTTTGCATAGTCAATAAAACACAAGTAAACATCTTTATGGTATTCTTTTCTTTGAGCCAAGATCCATCTGACATCAGCTATGATATCCCTTGCTCCACGTCCCTCTGAATCCAGCTTGCATTTCTGGAAGTTCCCTGTCAATATACTGCTGCAACTGTTTTTGAATTATCTTCAGTAATTTTACTTGCATGCAATATCAATGATATTGTTTGATAATTTCCGTATTCTGTGGGATCATCTTTCTTTGGAATGGGTATAAATATGGATCTCTTCCAGCCAGTTGGCCAGGTAGCTGTTTTCCAAATCTCTTGGCATAGCTGAGTGAGTGCCTCCAGACCGGCATCTGTTTGTTGAAACATCTCGATGGGTATTCTGACAATTCCTGTAGCCTTGTTTTTCACCAATTCCTTCAGTGCAGCTTCAACTTCTTCCTTCAATACCATTGGTTCCTGATCATATGCCACCTCCTGAAATGGATGATCATTTACCAATTCTTTTTGATTTAGTGACTCTATGTATCCTATCCATCTTCTTTTTATGTTTCCTGCATCATTCAACATATTGCTTGCTCATGGAGTCTTTCAATATTGCAATTCAAGGCTTCATTTTTTTCCTCAGTTCTTTCGGCTTGAGAAATGCCAAACATGTTCTTCCTTTTTGGTTTTCTAAGTCCAGGTTTTTGCACATTTCATTATAATAATTGACTTTGTATTCTTGAGCTGCCTTTTGAAATCTTCTGTTCAGCTCTTTTATCTTGTCATTTCTTCCATTTGCTTTAGCTATTCTCCACTCAAGGGTAAGTTTCAGTCTCTTCTGACATCCATTTTGGTCTTTTCTTCCTTTCCTGTCTTTTTAATGACCTTTTGCTGTCTTCATGGATAATTTTCTTGATGTCATCACACAGTTTCTCTGGTTTTCAGTCAGTAATGTTCAATGCATCAAATCTATTCTTCAGATGGTCTCTAAATTAAGGAGGAATATAATCAAGGTCATATTTTGGCTCTCATGGACTTCTTTTAATTGTCTTCAGCTTCAACTGGAATGTGTATATGAGCAGTTGATGGTCTGTTCTACAATCAGCTCCTGGCCTTGTTTAGGCTGAAAATATTGAGCTTCTCCATCACCTCTTGCCACAGATGTACTCAATCTGATTCCTGTGTACTCCGTATGGTGAAGTCCATGTTTATAGCCACCATTTGTGCTGCTGAAAAAACATATTTGCAATGAACAAGTTGCTGGCCTTGCAAAATTCTATCATGCAATCTCCAGCTTTATTTCTATCACCAAGGCCATATTTTCCAACTACCAGTGATCCTTCTTTGTTTCCAACGTTTGCATTGCATTCAGCAGTGATAATTAACACATCTTGATTGCACATTTGGTCAATTTCAGACTTCAGAAGTTAGTAAAAAATCTTCAGTTTCCTCATCTTTGGCTTTGATGGTTGGTGCATAAATTTGAATAATAGTAATATTAACTGGCCTTCCTCATAGGTTTATCATTATTATCCTATCACTGACAACATTGTACTTTAGTTTAGTTCTTGATACATTCTTTATGATGATGAAAGCCATGCCATTCTTCTTCAATTTCTTATTTCCAGCATAGATCATATGATCGTCTGATTCAAAATGGCCAAAACAGTCCATTTCAGCTCATTAATGCCTAGAATATCGATCTTTATGCATTCCATTTCATTTTTGACAACTTCCAATTTTCCTAGATTCACACTTCGTACATTTCATGTTCTGATTATTAATGGATGTCTGCAGCTGTTTCTTCTCATCTTGAGATGTGCCACATCAGCTAATGGAGGTCCCAAAAGCTTTACTCTATCCACAGAATTAAGGTTGGCTCTACTCTGAGGAAGCAGCTCTTCTCTAGTCATATGCTGAGTGCCTTCTGACCTGAGGGGCTCATATTCCTGCACTACATCACACAATATTTCAGAGCTCTTCATAAAGTTTTCCATTAATATATCAGACAGTGTTTCACTGCTACTCACAAGGTTTTCACTGGCAAGTTCTTTGAGAAGTGGATGATGGCCTCTTCCTTTCTCCAAGTCTGGAAGCTTCCTTAGTCTGGAAGCTCTGCTGAAACCTGTCGACCATGGGCAACACTGCTGGCATTTGAAACACAAGTGGCATAGTCTCTCGCCTCACAGCAACACTCAAGTCACCACAGTACGACAGAATGACAGACAAGTTTGTGTCCTTTAGCTTTTCAAAACTGCTCTGCTCATTACCTGGTCTCCCCTGCCCTGGTCACTTACCCAGCCTGCCTTCTGGGTGCTCATTCATAGGCAAACACCCACCTTCCACTGGTCCTAGGGTTGGCTTATTACAGCCTGCCCCCGGTGTGCTTGCTTCACGCACCCAACACCCACCTTCAGCTGGTTCCGAGGCTGGCTTTCTGTGGGCTGCCCCCAGGGCACTCACTCAACACATGCATACACCAGCATTCTGCTGGTTCCAGGGCTGGCTTAATGAGCCCTGCCACCAGGGATCTCGCTCCACGCATGCAAACACCTGCATTCTTGCTGGTCCTAGGGCTGGCTTACTATACTGTGTATATATATATACATATAAAATGCCTTAGGTGACTAAAATTGCAATCTCCCTTTTATTAAGAAGAGAGAAGAGTTTCTATTTAAAACAAATTAATCATAGAAAGAAAATATTAGCAAACAAATACCATGGAGTTGAAATAAGAGACTCAATAAGAGTAGGAAAATGTTGAAGAACAAGAATGGACTGTGATAAAGTACAAATTACCTTTAGATGAATATAACAGTCTTTCAGCTCAGACTCCCTGACAAGGGGTCCCTCCACAGGGCCAAACTGGGTGCGCTTGGGAATGCGCCTCTTGGAGAAGACTCCTCCCAGGAACCTGTCTATGTAGAGAACCAAGGGGAGACTGGCTCTGGCTCTTGTAAGCACAGGCCGATTGGGGATCGGATGCAAGGGGCCATGCTTTGGGCATACTGATGAATGTGCATTATTACACTCTTCACACCCTACAAAGAAAGAAAATCATAAAGAATGGTCAAATTCCTCAACATGACTTAACTTAAGGTAATAAGTTCTGACCTGAAAATCCCTAAATCTAAGCTTTCCAAGCCAAACTTCATCTACTCCATTCAAATGTGATACATCAGCTTTCACACACCAACAAAATCCTATTATTTTCCTCTAAAATTGGGCAGAACTAGGTTATGCTGCCCCAAAACAGTATGCAGGCTGTGATTTATTTCTCTGTGGGAATTAGAATTAAACCATTGTTAGCTGCTATCAAGTCAACTCTTGACTCCTGGTGGTAGCCCCATGCACAGTGGGATCAGATTATTGTGATCCATAGGGTTTTCACTGACTGATTTTTAAAAGTAGATTTCCAGGCCTTTCCTCCTAGTCTGTCTTAGACTGGAAGGTCTACTAAAACCTATTCAACATCAGAACAATATATTGACAGATGGGTGATGGCTGTGCATGAGATGCATTGGCTGGGAATCAAATCAGGTCTCCTGAATGGAGGGTGAGGATTCTACCACTGAATGACCACTGCCCCTATAATTAAACTAAACCCACTGTCATCAAGCCAATTCCAACTCATAGTGAAAACTCAGACCAAACCAAACTACTGCTATCAACTCGATTCTGACTCATAGCCATCCCTACTGGGTTTCCAAGGCTATAAATCTTTACAGAAGCAGACTGTCCCATCTTTTTTCCACAGAGTGGCTAGTGGGTTCAAACTGCTGACCTTTTGGTTAACAGCCCAATGTCTTAACCACTACACCACTAGAGCTTCTTATATTATAAACTAGGGACCACTAAATTTACGAATAAATTACATTTCTTAAAAGAATAAAAGCTCATTATGCTAAATGAAGGAGCTCTGGTGGTGTAATGCCTAGGGCATTTGGCTGCTAACCAGAAGGCTGGCAGTTCAAACCCCCCAGCCACTCCTTGGAAGGAAGATTGGGCAATCTACTTTTGTAGAGATATCACCTCGGAAACCCAAGGAGGGGTCACTACAAGTTGAATTGACTTGACATCAGTGACTTTGGGTTTTGTTTTTGTTTTGTTTTGTTTTTTTGGTGTATGCTAAATGATGCAAAATCTGATAAGGAAAAATGGGTAAGTTTTATGGTATGTAAATTATATCTCAATAAAGTGTTTTTTCTGAAAAAAACAAAAAACAAAAAACCACCTGATGAAACTGCTTAATCAAGTTCCTCAAAGAGAGCTATAGAAGTCAACAGGGTCACTATGAGTCAGAATCAACTCAATAGCAATGGGTCAACTATGTATTAATATCTCTAAGATAATGTGATTTTACATGCATTTGACTAAAAGCTTGTCTTGAACACATATAAATTCAAGGAAAAACACAACTAAGAAGTTATCTCTTGAATCAGAGGAGCTAGACATTGGTCTCATACAATAGGTTTTACCACTACCTTACAGAGGCCCAAGTAGAAATATAGTGAATATTCAGTGAGATGAGAACATAGCCAGATGAGAATGAAAATCAATGGAAAGAAACAATATTCTGGTAGGTGCAAGCACACCCTCCCTGAGCAGGCAGTACAGAGAGGCAACAACATATTATGAATAGTTATGGGCACACCAGTGCCAGAACCCCTAAGTCTGAATCCTGGCTCTTGTCACTTCCTAGTATGATCTTTGGAAAACTCCTTTTCCCGTCTGTGAGGGTAGTAGTAGTGTCTACTACACCATGAGAACAGTTAAGGAGTTAATAAGCTTAAAGCACTAGTCCCTGAAATATAAAAAATTATTATAAGGAGGGATAAAGTAACAAAGAAAACTTATTAAAACCAAAATGGCCTGAATATTCCAGCATTGGACAGTTACAATAGTAGTTAGAAGTACAAACCCTGGTCTCAGAAAGACTTAGGTTAGAATGTCAGAGCAACCCCTCATCAGCTAAGTGATGCTGAGCAGGTTACCTGACCTCTCGTTAACTGCAGTTTAGTCAGAGTGAGAGTGGAATAATGGTAACAGTGCCATTGTCTCCCTCCAAAGACTGTAAGAAAGAGGAAGTGAGATGATGTATATAAAACACTTAGCCCAGTATCTGCCACTTAGGAAGTGCTCAGTATATGTTAACTACCTTAACAGACAGGAACTCTGGTAGCACAGTGCCTAAAGCATCTGACTGCTAACCAGAAGGTTGGTGGTTCAAACCCACCAGCCACTCCACAGAAGCAAGACTGGGCAATCTACTTCCATAAAGATTTACTGCCTCGGAAACCTAATGGGGGTTGTTATGAGTCAGAATTGACTCAACAGCAGTGGGTTTTTTAACAAACAGAGTCCTTGGATGGCACTAACTGTTAACTGTTAACACACAGCTGCAACCCATAAGGTTGGTAGTTTGAATCTATGCAAAGGCTCCTTAGAAGAAATTACTGGCACTGAATTTCCTAAAGATCACAGCCATTGAAATACATGCAGTTCTATTGTGATACACATAGGGTTGACATAAGTCAGAGTTGACTCTACAGCAACTGTCTTTTTCTGCTGTTGTTAACACGTGCACACACACACACTTACAAGAAACAATACATAGTTTCCTCTGAGGATTAGAGTTCCCTGAACTTACATAAGTCATGAGGGTCAAAGGGTCGAGGTGGATCTGGTTCCCAGTCATCCAAGTCTGTGTCTTCACCATCATCCTCCTCATCTTCTTCAGTATCTTCATCCTCATCCTCATCTTCTTCCTCTTTTGCCTCCAATCTTTCAATGGGATTCTGTAGAGTAGCTAAAGGATCTGAACCGTCCACACTCTCAATTGAAGGTAACACCTGGTTATGTACTGGTAATGAAGCCTAGACAAAAAGTTTAAAGCATAAAGTAAGCAGACATTCCTTTTCAGTTAGCTAATATACACACTTATATACATACACACAGAACCAGGGTTTGGTGTAATATATTCTTTACACTAGCTCTTTTCAAAGCCCTGGGGGAAAAAATGATTTCCATTAACAGGATGTAATGAGGAATCTGCCACCACTCATCTGTCAGTTTGTCATACTGTGATTTGTGTTTCACTCTGAGGCTAGAAGCTATGCCACCAATATTACATGGTCATCAATGATGAACAAGGTCTCAGTAGAGCTTCCAGACTAAGATAGACTGGGAAGAAAGACAGAGTCTTCCACCTCTTTAAAAAAAAAAAAAAGAAAAAACCTTCTGAGTATCAGTGACACACTCTCTGATATATTACTGGAAAACTTTATGAATAGCAGTGAAACACTGTCTGATTTAATGCCAGAAGATGAGCCCCTTAGGTCAGATAGTACTCAAAATATGACTTGGGACAAGTTGTCTCCTTAAAGTAGAGGACATGGATAGAGTAAAGCTTTCCAGACCTTCATTTACTGATGAGGCACAACTCAATGGGAAGAAACAGCTGCAAACATTCATTAATAATCAGAACTTGGAGCATATGAAGTCTGGATCTAGAAAAATTAGAAGTTGTCAGAAATGAAATGGAATGCATAAAGATCAATATCCCAAGCATTAGTGAGTTGAAATAGACTGGTATTGATCATTTTGAATCAGACAGTTGTATGGTCTACTCTGCTGGGAATGACACATTAAAGAGGAGTGACATCACATTCATCACCAAAAAGAACATTTCAAGATCTATTCTGAAGTACAATGCTGTCAGAGATAGGATAATAGCCATACACCTATATAGAAGACTGGGAGCTCTGGTAGCGTAGTGCCTAAGGCACTTGACTGCTAACCAGAGGGCTGGCGGTTCAACCCCACCAGCCACTCCTCGGAAGGAAGGTTGGGCAATCTACTTCTGTAGTGATACTGCCTCGGAAAACCAAGGAGGGGTCGCTATGAGTTGGGTCTGACTCGACAGCACATAACAACAACAATAATAATATACAAGACCAGTTAACACTACTACAATTAAAATTTACCAACACCTAAAGCCCAAAATGGAGAAATTGATGATTTTCACCAACTTCTGCAGTCTGAAACTGACCAAACATGCAATCAAGACATATTGATAATTACTGGTGATTGGAATGCAAAAGTTGGGGGGAAAAAAAAGCACTGATGTTGGGCAAATATGGCCTTAGTGATAGAAATGATGCTGGAGATAGCATGATAGAATTTTTCAAGATCAAGGATTTATTCATTGCAAATACCTTTTTCAACAACATAAATAGCAGCTAACATGTGGACCTCACCAGATGGAATACACAAGAATCAAATTGACCACATCTGTGGAAAAAGGCAATACAGAAGCTCAGTATCATCAGTCAAAACAAGGCCAGGAGCTGACTGTGAAAAAGACCATCAATTGCTTATATGCCAGTTTAAGTTGAAGCTGAAGAAAATTAAAATGAGAGCCAAAAAAAAGTCCACAAGAGCCAAAATCCGACCCTGATTATCTCTCACTTGAATTTAGAGACCATCTGAAGAACAGATTTGATGCACTGAATACCAATGACTGAAGACGAGACAAGTTGTGGGATGATATAAAAAACATCATACATGAAGAAAGCAAAAGGTCATTCCAAAGACAGGAAAGAGAGAAAAGACCAAAATGAATGTGAGAAGAGGCTTGCTCTTGAACTGAGAGTAGCTAAAGTGAATGAAGAAATGATTTAAAAAGCTGAACAGAAGATTTCAAACGACAGCTGAAAAAGAGAAAGTAACATATTATAATGAAATGTGCAAAGATTTGGAGTTAGACAACCGAAAGGAAAGAAGACACTGGCATTCTCAATCTGAAAGAACCAAAAAAAAAACTCAAATCACAAATTGTAATACTGAAGAACGCTATGGGCAAAATACTGAATGATGCAGGAAACATCAATAGAAGATGAATGGAAAACACAGAATCACTGTACCAAAAAGAATCACTGTACCATTTCAAAAGCTAGCATGTGATGAAGAACCAATGGTATTGAAGGAAGATGTCCAAGCTACACTGAAGGAATTGGTGAAAAACAAGCTCCAGGAACTAAAGGAATACCCATTGAGATATTTCAACAAATAGATGCAGTGCTGAAGGTGTTTACGTTGACGCCAAGAAATTTGGAAAATAGCTACCGGGCCAAGGGTCAGGAAGAGATCAATGTTTATGCCCATTCCAAAGACAGGTGACTCAAAAGAATGTGGAAATTATCAAACAATATCATTAATATAACATGCAAGTAATATTTTGCTAAAAATAATTTAAAACTGGTTACAGCAGTATATTGTCAGAGAATGCCCAGAAATGCAAGCTGGATTCAGAAGAGGACATAGAATGAGAGGTATCATTGCTGAAGTCAGATGGATCTTGGCTGAAAGCAAGAATACCAGAAAGATGTTTACTTGTGTTTAACTGACTATGCAAAGGCATTCAACTGTGTGAATCATAACAAATTATGGATAACATTGCAAAGAATAGAAATTTCAGAACATTTAGTTGTTCTTATGAGGAACCTGTACGTAGACAAAGAGGCTGTTGTTCAAACAGAACAATGGGATACTGCATGGTTTAAAATCAGGAATTGTGTGCATCAGAGTTGTATCCTTTCACATTACTTACTCAGTCTGTACACTGAGCAAATAATCTGAGAAGCAGGACTATAGGAAGAACACCACAGCACAAGAATAAGAGGAAGACTCATTAACAAACTGCCATATGCAGATGGCGTTAACTTTGCTCACTGAAAGTGAGGATCAAGCACTTACTGATAAAGATAAAAGATTACAGTCTTCAGTATGGATTACACCACAACATAAAGGAAATGAAAATCCTCACAACTGGACCAATAAATAACATCATGATAAATGGAGAAAAGATTGAAACTGTCATGGATTTCATTTTGCTTGGATCCACAATCAACACCTATGGAAGCAGCAGTCAAGAAATCAAACATCTTATCTCACTGGGAAAATCTGCTGCAAAAAGACTTCTTTAAAGGATTGAAGAGCAAAGATGTTACTTTGAAGACTAAGGTGTGCCTAACCTAAGCCATGGTATTTTCAATTGCCTCATTTGCATGTGAAATCTGGACAAGGAATAAGGAAGACTGAAGAAGAGTTGATGTCTTTGATTGCAGTGTTGGCAAAGAATACCAAAAATACCATGGACCACCAGAAAACAAACAAATCTGTCATGGCGGAAGTGCTGCCAGAATGCTCCTTAGAAGCAAGAATGGCCAGACTTTTGTCCTACCTCCTTTGATCATGTTGTCAGAAGGGACCATTCCCTGGTGAAGATATCATACTTGGTAAAGTAGAGGGTCAGGGAAAAAGGGAAAGACCCTCAATGAGATGGACTGACACAGTGTCTGTAACAACGGGTTCAAGCATAGCAAGGATTATGACAATGGCACAGGACCAGGCAGTGTTTAGTTTTCTTGTACATAGGGTCACTATGGGTCAGCTCTGACTAGAAGGCACCTAACAACAAGTACAATGAGGAGTCTGACTCCATTTTTTGAATGTTTGACTGCTAACAGGTTTTTACACCTCACTCTTCTCTCTTCCTCTTGTGTTCCATGTCAGAACAATCTAAGAAAGCCTGGGTGTTCCCACCCTTGGCACCAGTTGGACATTCAAAATCACATAAACACCTACATGTGTGCAGGACTTCACCCAGGCCCCACCCCCTGACCAGAGTAAAATTCTGAGCCCATCTCCTTTCCTGGGCTCTCAGACCATTTCAGACCAGCTTCAAAGACTTGTCCTACTCTCCCAGAGACCTCAATTACATGATTAACAAATCTTGAGGACCCTCTTGTGTGTTTGTATACCATCATCAGTCTTGACTGCTTTTGCAGCATGGCCACACAACTTGGTGGCCACCACATAAGACATGTAATGATTTACCTGTATTCAACCACTGTACTTTTAAAACACCTGATACAACACATGGTTGGTAAAATTAACTAATTAACAGCTCTGCTTTTAATCACTCTGAATAGGCTGAGACCTTTACGTAAGAATCTGAGACTCTTATTTGTTTAATCAAGCTGAAGTTAGACTCTCACAAACTAGGCAAGATTTGGGTCACAAATTGGATGAATGCTACTTTACCAAATACACTGACAGAAAATAAATGGTACCTTAAAAAATTCTCTCACCCCCTAAATAAGTGTTACAAGGTAATATGGTACCTCAGACTCTTTTAATTCAATCTTATTTCTACTGCCCAATTAGGGCCATAAGCTATACTGAGGCCATGTCCCCTTCCTATTTAATAAATACATTAAAAAAAAAAAAAAAACCCTACTCCCTTCTGTATTTTCCCACATTTTTTTCCTCACCTAGTATGTTCTCCCTTCACCAGTCTTCTAAACACCATCATGTGCTTTTTGACGAACCATCTCTGACCACTCTAGACCTCCCTGATGTTCCTCTGATCTGAACCCCTATCACACATGAATTCACAGAATCCCACCCTATTCAGCCTCTGTTTAAACATTTCATTACTGGGAACTTATTTCTGCACAGAGCAGTCTGAATCATTTTGAAAAAGTTCTGTGACAGTTTCTATTAAGTCAAAATTCTCTCTACACATCTTCTATGCCCTGGCTGCATCTAAGACTTTCCTATGGAGCTCCTGGAGAATAAGTCTAACCCTTCTTTCCTTCAAATCTTTAAATTCCAAAAACTCATTCAATCATTTCTCACATGGCCACATGTTGAGATCACGCATTACCTTCTTGTCTTCATTTATTCCTCAGTGGATTCCATATCACTATGAATACAGCACCAGACTGCATTAGCCATTGTACTGCTGACCCATCCTGATCTTGCAGATAATTAAAATCCCTGAGTAACCATAGTACTAGGTGACACCAGA